CTCGAAGGAGTTAAACAAAGTTTTCCATAGGACCATATCAGGCTTTCATATGATTCTCATCATTCGGATTTATAGATCTTTGAATGACATTACCAGTCTTGGATTCGAATCTTTACGTATGTTTTTCATAAAAGAAAAAAAAGCAAGATTTTTGCAGAAGCTTAAAATTACCTCTGAAATATAGTCTAAAGTATCTTCAAAAAAATTCTCAGCTCGACTAGACAAAATCAGACGAGGGTGGTAAGTGGGTCTATGAAAACCAGGATTTTCTCGAAAAACCTCGTTTAAATTTGATTTCCTCGAACATGTATTGTCTTATTTCAGATGCTCTGTCTGTAGTAAAAATCTCATACCGATCCGTTGTACATACTTCGAGAACTAGAAATGATCAATTATTATAACTACTATCTTGATTTGGACTAGGTGCTTAACATTATAGAGCAGCAAAGCAAAAATGTGTTGTTGTTAAATTTTTTTCACTATCTTCTTATTTAAAAGAATTGCACAATTTTTTTTTCTGTTTAGGACGACTTAAACAATTGGCTAATGTAGTTCTTTTAATATTAATGTTAGGTGCTGTTTATACACATTACATATTGCATGATAAATTTGAACGAATGGCACCTGGACTTGTGTTTAGTCTTTTATTGTTGACTCGTCTTATCATTCATCGACAAGTAGCACAACGAGAGAAAGGTTTAAGTGCAGAGAAGAAACCAATGAAATCAGAAGAGAAAACAGAAGATGAAGATGTCGGACAAGCATCGGATGATCAAGAGTCTCAAAGTGACGATGAAGATAAACAAGAAGCAACGCGTGATAAGAAAAAAGAAAAGAAGAATAAATAACGTTTGACTTATATTCTATTTCATATTGTGACGTGTGCATTTGTGTTCGTTCGTTCGTTCTTTCTTTCTTTCTTTTTTTTACTATATTCAAAAAGTAAAATAAAACTAACTTTCTGTCTGCTTAGTGTTTCATTAATTTAGATGTCTCATAAACTCTGGTCACCGCCTTCGGGCATTCGTACAAATATTGATGATTTTCGAGGCATTGTTATGCATAAATATCAAGTTCGATTGGGTATAAACATTTCTTATTCGAAACGATAAATTCATATTTTATAAATTTAGAAACATATTGGGATTTATATGAATGGTCGTTAAATAATATTTCGAAATTTTGGGAAGAGTTTTGGGTTTATATTGATATTAAATACTCAGTACCATTCGAACAAGTATGTGAATTTCATGTTGCATTTGTTTTGTTTAAAACAGACTTGATGTAAGTAATAATTATGAGTTTTAAAAAATCTAGGTACTAGAAGAAAATAAAAAAATGGATGAAATTCCTCGTTGGTTTTTGGGCGCACGACTTAATTATGCCGAAAACTTACTCCGTTTCAAAGATGATCGAATTGCTATATATGCTTCTAGTAAGTGAACAAACTCAAATCTTATAATCTATAAGGAAGTTCGAAAGTTTTAGTTATTTAATATAAATATATTGTTAGCTAAGGTAAAAAAATGTATTCTCGTTTAATGTGATACATATACTTTATTGATCAGCTTCTTAGCACAAACCGAGGGTTCTTAATTGAAAATTTTGATTTTACAAATGAAATTATTTTCATAGATACTGTTTAAAACATTGATTCTTTTTTATAGGTGAAGGAGATCCTTCAATAAAAAAAACGACATTTGCTGAATTAAATGAAAGTGTTCGTCGTTATCGTGCAGCACTTCAACATGTCGGTGTTACAGTGGGTGACCGAGTTGCAGGTACTTAAATACAAATTAATTAAGAAAAATTCAATCATATAACATTAATTATTTGATTGCTTATTTTTTAGTTTATCTTCCCAATAGTCCTGAAGCATTAATTATTTGTCTAGCAACAGCTAGTCTCGGTGCGATATTTAGTGCAGCATCAGCAGATTTTGGTGTACTTGTATGTATTATATTCATAAATCTTTTTTATTTTGTTTTGAAAATTCATAATGTTATTTTTTTATTTTTCTTAGGGTGTTACTGAACGCTTCAGTCAGATTGAACCTAAAGTAATATTCGGCTGTAATGCTGTTGTTTACAATCGAAAAACTCATGACTCATTAGTTAAACTAAAAGATTGTGTACTCGGTAACATGAATGTATTAATATTTTCTATGAATATTAAATTATGTATTTTTCTTCTAGCATTGCCAACATTACAACATGTTGTTGTTATTCCATTTGTATCCGATTATTCAATGGATCTTAGCGGAATTCCAAATAGGTTTTAATTATATTTTCATTATATTTTTATCCAAGTAAATTTTAGTGTAACCATTGAACAATTTCTTTCGATGCCTGGTGAAACTATCGCACCACTCGAATTTGAACAAGTTCCATTTAATCATCCATTATTTATTATAAGTATCATTTAAGAAAGAACGTTTTTATTATAATTTTGCTGGTTTTTTGTTTGATGTGTTTACATGTATTCATCTGGTACAACTGGTGCACCAAAATGTATTGTTCATGGACATGGTGGAACATTAATAAATCATTTAAAAGAACATCGATTACAAAGTAATATGAAAGACGGAGATATTTTATTTTATTTTACTGGTAAGAAAAACAATTCGTTATATTGAGATATATTTAAAGATTGAAAAACCATTTATTTTACTTTAGCTGTTTCTTGGATGATGTGGAATTGGGTAATGATGATGTCTTTTTTCTTTATTTGTAAATCAATATTTATATGTATTTTAAATTAGTTAATTTCATCGATTGCACTTGGTACACCAATTGTACTTTATGATGGTTCACCAATTATACCAGATTATTATCGACTTTGGGATTTAGCTGATGAAATCGGGTAGAGTTATTAAAAACATGTCTAGAAAATGAAAAAACTAATGTTTAATTTTAAACTATATTTATCTAAATATAATTTGAGAGTATATGAAGGATCAAAAGTGATTTTGCGTATTGCTCTTTATATTATATAATGTTAAGATTTGTTGAAAGTTTTCAGCAATACGAATCTGTCTTACATATTTATTTGTCTGATAGTTGCAAGAAGATATTTTTCATAATCTGATATTCTCAGTAGAGTCTGTTGAGTTCAAAATTTTCGAACAAAGGTCAAACCATACTTCGATATTCTCAATGAAGTTTTCTAATCGAAATAATAGAGTACCTTACATATTTCTCAGATAAGTAAAGGTCTTTGAGTCCGAAAATTTCTGATCTGGATCCAGTTTACAGACAAGTTTCAGATTTAGACTCGAACGGTTCAGGTTTGGGATCAATAGGATGCGTTCTACCTTCTCTTCAGAGTTGTCATGGTCATTTTACTGAAATATTAGCCTATAGCATGGCAAGTACAAAAGAATCGATTGGAGATATTTTGCCCACATGTAAACCTACTTGTAACTAGAATGTTCTCAAGATTTCAACTCAAAAGAATGTTCCTTCTACAAGATGTTCAATTTCGAAAAATCATTTATATCTCATGAAAGATTAGAGAATTTAATGTGTTTTTTTTGGGACTTCATTATTGCATGAAGGAAATATTATTTTGAACTGAAAATTTCAGAATATTATAGTTGCAAGTAGACTTATGTGTTGACAACATTCCAAGTCCAAATATTGTCATTTGATTCTTTTGTACATACGGTGCCACAGGCTAAAATTTCAGTAAAACAAATATAACTCTGTAGAAAAGACCTAAGAGTCCATAACTTCGGTGAGGTTTTCAAGATCTCAATTGAGTCTACATTAAACACAGAGTCCAAAATCAAAAGCGATTTTCAAGTTGCGATGACTTGCTCGCTAGAAATATATCTATATTCTTGATATCGATCCCATTTACTAGACTATTAGTTTTTTTTTTTCGTTGTATTATTCGATTCTGATAGGTTAACAGATACAAAAGAAGTTTAATTTCTATTTAGCATAACAATATTCGGCTGTAGTGCTCGTTATTTAACAGCATTAGAAGAACAGCATGTAACACCTCACACACATAATAAACTTGAAAAATTACATACTATTTTATCAACTGGTTCGCCATTACATGGTCGAATATTTGAGTATGTTTATACAAACATCAAAACAAATGTTCTATTAGGTTCAATAACTGGTGGAACGGATATTATGTACAGAATAATCTCCTCTGTATTATATCAATTGCTTTTTCTTTTGTTACTTTTTAGTTCATGTTTTGCTGGTGTTAATCCAACATTGAGTGTTCATCGAGGAGAACTACAATCTCCACATTTAGCTATGGCTATTGAATGTTGGTCTGAAGATGGTAAGATGATAAATTGATTTTGTTTATTTTTTTGTGTATTTGATGAGGTATTATTTGAAGGAAAAAAATTGGAAGGTGATAGTGGTGAACTTGTTTGTGTTAAACCATTTCCTTCGATGCCTGTTTATTTTTGGAATGATTCAAATGGCGAAAAATATCATCGAGCCTATTTTGATAAATTTCCAGGTTTAATTTTGTATTGAATTCTTTTCAAAATAAATTTTTGTTTTTATTGTATGTAGGCATTTGGAATCATTCTGATTTTTGTCTTATTAATCCAGTTACTCGAGGCATCATTATGCTTGGCCGAAGGTTTGCCTATTAAAACTGTGATTCTTTTTCTCTTGCGAAAAATCAAATTATTGTTTATAGTGATGGTACCCTTAATCCTAATGGTATCCGTTTTGGTTCAGCTGAAATTTATTCCATTGTCGATCAATTTAATGGTGAAATCCTCGATAGTTTATGTGTAGCACAGCGAAATCCTTCAACTGGCAATGAACGTGTTGTACTTTTCCTTAAAGTAAGTTAACTAACAAAAAAAGAAAAAAAAAATTCGACGAATATTCCTTCTTTATTTGAATACGTAATGTTTGATGAATTGATTAATAGAAAAAGAAAAATGTTTGACGAAATACAATTGAAATCAACACATAAAATTTTTATTTTTTCTGTTTTTAATCCTAAAGAAAATTCTTTTAAATATTCATCAATCGATTAATTCTATATCGTCGTCGAATATAAGAATTTCTTGGTAAATCCTTGAAATAATAATTTAAATCAAAATCATCATTATCATCTTCATCATTATTATTATTATCATCATTGTTCGATTTGTCTAATTGTGAATAAATATCATATAAAGAACTATCTCGACGAACAAGTTTGATTTTAAATGCATCATAATAATCTTTAATAGCTTTAAGATAATTTTCAATTTGTTCTCTTGTTTTAAAACGTAATGGTCGTTCAGGTGGTGGTGGAATATCAAGATAAGATGATAGTGCACATGAAACAAGTGCAACAAATAATAAAAAAATCATGCACGTATTGTTCATTCTGAAAAGAAAATAATCTAAGTGTTTATTCTTTTATTTCTTATACTTACGTGAATGAAGCAAACTAACACAAGAATCTTTCAATGATATATAGTCAACTACTCTTCTTAGTATCAATTAGACGAAGGAATTTGTCAAAATAAAGGAGAAATCCTTTATGAAATGAATCTTGTATTTTCTATGCATATAAAGACATATATATATATATATTCTTTTGACGAATGTAGGGAATTATAAAAAAAAAACAAATCAACTACGACATCTAGTCACGTTATCTATATATTATTTTGAATTAGATTATCTAAGTGATCATTTCTTATTAAAATATATACGATCTTAGTTAAAAAGAAATCTAATTAAAATGATTGATTATGATTTATCTATCTACTGACAAATTCATTTATTTTATGTTTTTTTTCCGAATTAGATATATATGATTGAGTGGATCGTATCGTAAGAATTCGACTACATTTAAGTAAAACAGAGGACCTAGATTCAGACCTTGCTGACTTGATGCATTTTATTCTTTTAAATAGTAACAGTATGACAAAAGACAACTAAATGCTGAAAAAATTTTCTTTGTCGACATTACGTTCGAAAATGATACATCAAATTTCTATAGAAAAAAACACACAATTACATTATTCTATCGTTGAAAACTTTTTAAAATGATTTTCTGTGTCAAAAAGGATAATCAGTAAAGCATTTATATACTTTGCGATGGAATACATGAGACATTATAAGGAAATTGTCGCGACAAAATTTTCTTTTCTCGGTTTACTAAAAAGGACTGTTTTCCCTGAATAGTTGTCGAATAAAAAAATCGGTTGCATCTTTTATATTTATAATTAAAAAAGTGTCTTTGTCGTAATCAAAGAAAAAAGTTGCCCTGAGTGTTGTTAATCAAGCATAGATACGAAGATCAAAAATCTCTGATAGTATTGTTAAGAAAGGAAANCTACATTTAAGTAAAACAGAGGACCTAGATTCAGACCTTGCTGACTTGATGCATTTTATTCTTTTAAATAGTAACAGTATGACAAAAGACAACTAAATGCTGAAAAAATTTTCTTTTCTCGGTTTACTAAAAAGGACTGTTTTCCCTGAATAGTTGTCGAATAAAAAAATCGGTTGCATCTTTTATATTTATAATTAAAAAAGTGTCTTTGTCGTAATCAAAGAAAAAAGTTGCCCTGAGTGTTGTTAATCAAGCATAGATACGAAGATCAAAAATCTCTGATAGTATTGTTAAGAAAGGAAACAGACAAACCTTAACGAATGGCACATAAAGACTGAGGCTGTGTCGTTTTGCTTTTATGAGATTCTTAGAAAATTTGTAATTAGGAAAATTATTCTTAGCCCAAAAAAAATAGAAAATTCTCTGCACTGCAAGAATATAAGTCTGCTGACCGAAAGAAAAATCTTGTTTTCATAATGGAAAAAACTAAATACACAAAAAAAATGCAACGGGATACAAAAGTCGGTAAGACACGTTCTACGTAAAACAGATTCTAATTATCTAATTTGAAGAATTCTATCGAAGAATATGTCAACAACAACTATTATTTTTGAAAAAAAATATCCAACGAGATTGATTCTATCATTCAAAGTAAACAAGGTCAAAAAACAGCAGAATTCGTACAAAAATTTTCTGTAGAATGAATAAATAGCATCATTAAACAGACTTTTATTTTAAGAAACATGTAGCACATATTAAAGCATAAGATGAAATGACAAAAATATTGCCGGAAGACCTACAGTATTGTTTCCTTTGAACAGAAAGTAGAAAGGGTTATTAATTAGTAGATGGGTCGAACACACGTGAGGAAATGGATATCTTACTTGGTGATAACAATTTTTTTAAGGAAAGAAATTTGAGCAAAAGCAAACAAAAAACTTGAAAAAGGCGTTATAGTGTGCGCTAACCCCTTTCGTTCCTCCTTATATTTCACTTTGTTGCATACGAAGACACGTTCTTTTTTATAAGAAATACCTCGTTATAGAAGAGAAGATTATCTTTTTCTTTTGTTTAAGATTGACCTTTTTCCCTTAAAAGTTCCTAAGATTCTCTAAAGGCTAGAATAAGTGTCTCATTTTTAATTACCACCTGTCACATATTGTCAGATCTGAATGACCTTAATCTTAATTAATACCACAAAGTGAGACATAATTGTTCATATACTGTTTAATTGACATAAAATACTAAATAGGATTACATAAGTGCAACACTAATTGTTGAAATAAAGAATTATAATATGTTCAATCATTTGTTTAACTCTTATATGTATTCATGGATATGAAAAGTTGTTTCTAAGATAGAAAAACACAGAATAAAGATTTTAAGTACAAAATCTACTGCTTGATGACATAAAATATGATTTTCTTATATGAGCATAACTACTCCTTTTTTCTACTACCTATGAAAAAAGATCATAGAAATGACTTTGTAAGTTGCCGCTTAGTTATATATTTCAACGTAAACATATTACACGCTTTAATGAATACAAATTTTCTCTTTTCGAATTATTAAACAAAGATATATTAAAATATGGAACTATGAAAAAAAAACAAATATTCTTACCGTTTCAAACAAGTCATTATTGTCATGTCTTGCATATATGTGTATTTGTTGTAGTTTTGAATGACGATTGTAGTTCGTGAGAAGAGCAAGTTTTATAGAATGCGAGCCAGGAAATATACCAACAACTTATATTATTAGTAAGCTTTTTTCTAACCCTTACTTATCTAAGTCATGAACAGGACATGAAACAACTTGTAAAAAGAAAGAAGAGATGTTTTACATTAAATATGTGGGTGTCATATGCACTTCAATTAATCAAGTCATGTCGTAAACAGAGATAAAACATTTAACATACATGATTAATTTCTTTAGAATTTAATTTTTCTTTTCATTTCTTATTTTAGCTTCCAACGAATTTGAATCATCTAGAAAAGTCACTTGTTGATCGAATTAAAACAGCTATACGACAACAGTTATCAGCAAGACATGTTCCGGAAGTGATTTTACAAGTACCAGACATTCCAGTAAATAGATTTTTTTTTTATTAATTTTCAGAAATTAAAATGGATAGAATTTTTTCTAAATTCAATGTCAAAGAGCATGAAGACAGTACTCATTCTTCTAGACATATAATTTTGATTCACGCAAATCATTTACATTAATTAATATTGTTGAAATTCTTTAATAATTAAAGCTAATTAACTAATGTTTTTCTTTTAAATAATAGATGAAATTACCGAAATGTGCTCTAGAAAAACAGTTTTACAAGGTCACAAATCAATTTAGTATCCATTCATTGTTCTAAAATATTAAACGTTGTTTTTACTGTTCCTTATTAAATTATATATTATTCTCTTTTAGGTCAAATTAAATTTAAAGGTTTTCATATGAATCAACATTGAACAAAATAATCTATTATTAGAAAATAGCAGATTAGCCAAGTGATTAAGGAATATTTATAGAGTGAAACGCAATATAAATCTTAAAATTTATTCTTTAGTTTGGAAAACCAGATTAGTGAAATCCTCTTATCTATTAGATAATCAACATGACACAAAGATACTTGTCTTGAACTATAGTCAATAGATTTGAAGACGTAAGAAAGTACAAGAAATTTTGTTCGTGTTTTAAATTTATTTTGTCAAAAAAATGTTAAGACTATTGACATTCACGCTATATAGTTTCCAAAAATATCGAATTGATAAGTGCTTTTTCTTCGTTCTTTCTATGTCAACATGAAAAATTGTTATTTTTTACTCATGCATTATTTAACGAAATAATACAGGAAATGACAAGAACGCGTGATCTTGAAACATCTATTGTATCTTTTGATTTTTAGTTAATTAAAATCGCAGAAATACATATTAACAAAAGTACTATTGAAAATAGATTAACTAATTATTTTATGTATTCTTATGTTTTAGTATACCATTAATATGAAAAAAGTTGAAGTACCTGTTCGTCGTATAATTGAAGGTAAACAAATTCATGCAACAGGTTCATTAGTTAATCCAGATTGTCTTGATCATTATCGCAATATACCTGAATTAAATAAATGGTAATTAACAATTTTAATCTCATCGTTTGTTATTCCTTTTTTTGTCCTTGTTGTGATGGTAATAGGTTGATTTTTTTCTTCTGTTTTTTTTTGTCATGTCATTTATTCGGATTTACAATAAACATAATGATATTTTCAAGTTTTGACTCTTTGAATAAAACATAAGATGAAAGGATTTTATTGCATTGATATTCTAAACAACCCATGTCGTCAAAATCGCGTTACTTTTGATGATTAATCGCGATTGATTGGCAACTTTTAAGTATTGGCGATTAATCGCGATTTTTCTCAAAAAAATAGTTTAATAATCCTCCACATTCAATATAAAGCGTATGACTTTTTTTGATTATTAATATCAAAGTATTCGTGGAATTATCACAGCAAAATACTTGAGAGAACCATCGGACTGAATATTTACTGCTCGATTAAGTTCAACCAATAAGAAGACAGATAAATCAGTGTTGTTCTTCTACTCTTATACAGTATACCTTACTTTATTTGAGAAAGTCATTGTAACAGTACGGACTTGAATTTAACACAAAGGATTTGCATTCTTAACATAGACAATTAATTATTTATTTAAGATAGACAGTATTTATTTAATAATTATTTTTAAATGACACAAGCTAGTGAATTTTATACTGAAAGAGTTTTACAACAAAGAATGCAGAGAAAGAAAAGAAAATTACAATATATAGAAGTTGTTGATAATGGATCAGATGTTGATACTGATTCAATCAGTGATTCAAAAGATGTGGTTTATTCAAAGGTATTAGGAGATACAACAAAAGCAACAGTAATCAATCAAAAAGGATTTGATTTTAAAATTGATGATCGTTATTTTTCTGATGAAGATGGTTCCCAACATTCTTATTCTCTAGATGATGATGATAATCTTCATATATATGAAGATGATTTATTTTCACAAGATGTAACATCACCATTATATGAACAAGGAACTATAGCTATCGACAAAGCTGTTAAACGCATATTGAATTTTTGTATTGATTCGAATCTTGATAAACTCAATGTGATCTCTTTAATGCATTTGATCAAATCGTTATTGATGGAACCGAATCATCTTCCCACCACATTTCATCCAATACTAAAAACACAAGGTAAAATACAATCATCTATACCTAAGCTGCATTACAACAATTGTTTGACTATTACAACATTAAAAAGTGAACAACCACTTTGTATCAATTCGTATTACTCGTTAGCAAATAGAAAATTATCTAAACGACAGCTAACAGAAGTCGTTACAATAAACATTAGAGAAAGACTACAATGCATTATCCGACGAAAAGATTTCTTTCTTTACAGGGTATCAAGAACTGTTTCCTGGATTTGATATTTCAAGTGGTAAAAATCCTATGAAGGCGCAGAAGCAGGCGCTTAATCAAAATTTTTTCCACGCTGATCGTTTTTTCTTAGGAACATTATATAACAAACAAATAATATACCCGCATGATCATAACAGTTACGCATCAACAAACCACGAACAATTTATTTCAATTGCAAAAGAAGTTGAAATAAAATCAAGAGCAGGTGATAAACATCAAACGTCAGTTGTTC